GATGGACCCAGAATTATAAGCATTATTTCACTAAGTGAAATAAGCCAAATACAAAAGAACAAATATTGAAAGATTCCTTTCTATATGAGATATTTACATTAGACAAATTCAGAGAGACAGAGGTAGGTTAGCGCCTACAAGGGGCCAGAGTAAGAGAGGAATGGGGAGTTATTGCTTAATGGCTGCAGAGTTTCTGTTTAGAGTGATGAAAACGTTGTAGAAATAGTGGTGATGGTTGCATAACATTTGTGAATATATTTAGTGCCTATGAAAAACAGTTAAATGGCAAATTTTAGGACACACAGATTTTACCAAAATAAAAAAGTATATAAAAAAAAATAAAGAAAAGGAACTGTGGCAAGTAAGGCCACACCCATACTTGTTGGTGTGAAGAAGGGCCAGAATCAGGAATGGTTAGGGTCTTAATCAGAAAAGATTAAGGTATGTGGGCAGCTTGGATTGAGGTCTATAGTCTTTTGCCACTGTTGTTTTTGGGGGGATGTAATGCATAAAACCTCAAAGAATCACAAAATGCATAGGAAGGTTTCTCAACTTGCCCCACCCTGCCTCAAAGAAACCAGCCCAATTTGGTGAGTAAAGACAGCCACCCCCTGTTCTCATGGTCCCTCCAAACCCCAGCACTCATCTAGGGTACCTCCTCCTTATGTGACAAATAAAACCGCCTCATGTTTATTGGTCTCAGTGCTTCTACCTACAAATTAGCCCTCCTTCTTCCTTCTTCTCAAGGTTGTCATCAACAGCAGATAAGATAAGCCAGGCAGGTGGTATCATTAACCACGTTAAATCTGAAAACACTGTTGCCTTTAATAAAGAAATTAAACTGCCAGAGCTACTGAGTAAAACAGGAGCACCACCGACGTCCCATCTCTCTTTCCTTCTTTCCTTTTCTTTATAACACCATCTCCATCTATCACGAGATATATTTTGCTTGACCGTGTGTTCCCCCAGCTAAATGGAAGCTGCCTGGGGCACAGTGTGTTTGGTTCACTGTGGCACCTCCAGCGTCTGAATGACTGGTGCACAGTGCGTGCTCCGTAGACATGTGCTGAACGAATGGAGTCCTAGCTCTAATAACCCATGTTTAAACAAACCAAACCACATTTCATCGCCTACCACTGCTGCACCATTGACACCACTGTGTGGAAACTGAAGAATCAACTAAAAATTCTAACTTCCCTTTATAAGCAGGAAAAGGCCTATATGAGTGGAATAATCAAGAGCTCCTAGCTAGACCTTCCAAAAAAGGACGTTCAATGATGACATGATCTTATATGCAGAAAACCCTAAAGAGTCCACCAAAACAGACAAACAATCCACTCAGGTAAAAACAAACAAGAATAATAATAATAATTAAAAAAAACTCAGGAAAAATAACAAATTCAGAAAAGTTCCAGGATACAAAATCAACTGATGAAAATTAGCAGCACTTCTGGCAATGAACAATCTAAAAGGAATTTAAGACAACAATCCCATTTACAACAGCATGAGAAAGAATAAAATACTGAGGAACACCAATACCAATTTACCAACAAGGCTGAAGACTTGTACAGTATAAACTAGAGAGTACTGCTGAGAGGAATTAAAGACTTAAATAAACATAAAGACATCCCATGCTCATGAACTGGAAGACAATACTGTTAGGATGGCTGCTGCTGCTAAGTCACTTGAGTCATGCGACCCCATAGACAGCAGCCCACCAGACTCCCCCATCCCCAGGATTCTCCAGGCAAGAATACTGGAGTGGGTTGCCGTTTCCTTCTCCAATGTTAGGATGGCAATACACCTGAAAATGATCTACAGATTCAGGGCATTTCATATCAAAATCTCAATGGTGCTTTTGCACAAACAGAAAAAATAAAAGTAAATTCATATGGAATCTCAAGGAATCCCAAATAGCCAAAAGAATCTTGAAAGAGAAAGTTGGAGGACTCATTCTTCTTGATTTCAAAACTTACTACAAAGCTACAGTAATCAAAACAATGTGATACAGGCCTAAAGACAAACAACAGACCAATGTGACAGGGGAGAGAGGCCAGAAATAAACCCTTGCATACATGGTTAAATGATTTTCAACAAGGGTACAAAGAACATTCAGTAGAGAAAGGACAGTCTTTTCAACAAATGGTACTGGGAAAGTAGGACCTTCACATGCAAAAGAATGTACATGATACCATATACAAATATTAACCTGAAATGGATCAAAGACCTAATTGAAAGAGCTAAAACTATAAAACTCTTAGGAAAAAACACAAGGAAAAGCTTCATGATCTTCTATTTGACAAGGGTTCATTAGGTGCAATACCAAAAGCAGCCTCAACAACAGAAAAAGAAAAAGATAAAATGACCATCAAAATTTAAAACTTTGTGCATCAAAAGACATTATCAGAAAGTAAAAATACAACCTTAGGAGTGGGAGAAAATATCACCTGTCTGATACAGACTTAATATCTAGAACACATGAAGAACTCCTACAACTCAACAACTACAGTCAAAACCCAATTAAAAAATGAACAAAGCAATAGCAAAAAGAAAAAAAATATGGGGAAAGGATTGAATAAACACGTCTCAAAAAAAACCACACAAATGGCCACAGGCACATGAGAAGATGTTCAATATCACTAATCATCAGAGAAATGCAAATCAAAACTACAACCACAATTAGTATGTATATAATCAACAAAACATAAAATAGCAGGTGTTGGCAAGGACATGGGGAAACTGGAATCCTTAAGCACTGCCGTTGGGAATGTAATATGATGTGGCTGCTACAGAAAACACAGCGGTTCCTCAAAAAATTAAACACAGAATTACTGTAGGATCCCCAAATTCTACTGGGTATAAATGCAAAAGAACTGAAAACAGGGACCCAAATAGATATTTGTATACCCACTACATACTTACAACAGCTAAAACCTAGAAGCAATCCAACTGCCCGCTAATAGAGCCTGACACAAGCTACAACATGGATGGACCCTGACAACATTATGCTGAATGAATAAGCCACTGACAGACAGACAAGTACCACATGATTCTACTTATATGATACCCAGCATAGTCAAGAAACAGAGAGAATGGTGGTTGTCAGGAGCTGGGGAGACAGGGGAAAGAGGCTTATTGTTTAATGGGCACATATTTCCACTTGGGATGATGAAAAAGTGCTGGAATTAGTGGTATAGTTATATAACACTGTGACTGTCCTTCATGACACTGATTTGTACACTTAAGATGGTAAATTTGGTGTTTATGTATATTATACACAATTTTTTTTAAGTAAAGGGGAAAAAAATAGGTTCATATTTTCAGCCTATTGAGAGAATCCCTCTTAAAAGCCAAGTTTCTGACTTCCCTGGTGGCTCAGTGGTAAAGAATCTGCTTGCCAGTGCCAAAGACAAGGGTTTGAGCTCTGATCTGGGAAGATCCCACACACATGCCGCGGAGCAACTTAAGCCTGGGTACAACTATTGCGCCTGTATCCCAGAGCTCCACAACACGAGAAGCCCCCTCAATGAGAAGCCCCGTGCACAAGTAGAGTAGCTCTCACTCGCTGCAGCTAGAGATAACCCTGCTCAGCAACAAAGACCCAGCACAACCAAAAATAAATATATACTTTTTAAAAAGGCCAGTTTTCTGATAGCCTGGGCCTCCTTCCCATTGTAAGGGACACTGAGAATGCTGTTTTATTCTTTGTATTCTGCCCTCAAACCCAATTCCAATCATCTGGGCCCTAAATCCAAGCCAACAGCTCCGGTCGACTAGCTACTGTTTATAAGGTTGAGGTCGTGAGCATCCCTGGGCCACGCAGTTTGCAGAGATGACTGTCTGACAGGGATGAAAAGTTGCCAGTAAAAACAGAAGGCAATTCTGCTGGCTTTCACTCTCTATTACTTCCCCTTCCTCTTTTCTAGCAGGACATCAAAAGAGCCATGCAGAAAAGTAACAAACCAAACAGACCTGCCTGCCTTTTATTTTTTAGTTGGAAAATGGCCTCCCTGTTTTCCCCCAATCCTTTGCAGGTATAGATATTTAACATCCTTTGTATTTTGCAGACTTGAGGACAAAGTTTTTGCCCATCCAAACACAGCAGAATGAACAACGTTCATCCTCTGTACTCTAGTCTCCAGGGCTCTTGCATATAGATAATCTAACAGAGTATCCTGTTAGATCACAAAATAACCCAGTGAAAACGAACGTTTAGGGGTTGTCATCCTCCACTGGAGGAATGAAGAAACCCAGGCTCACGGAGATGAAGCAATTTGTCCCACATCCCACAACCCCAAGTGACAGGTCCAGGGTTCGCACAGAAGCAGTGAGTCTCAGAGTTCTCCTTCCCCGTGATTACTTTCGAAAGATGAACAAAGTAGAAACAGAATCAGGCCATTTTGGTGTCAAACAAGACCAAGGAAAAACGCTTCCAACTCTGGTAACCAGTAGGACTAGAAGGTCCAGCCCCAAAGAAGAGCTTGGTAAACAACTAAGCGACCGCCTCTTTCCCCGAAGTCTACCCTAATCTAGAAATGGATCTTTCTTGTTGGGTTTCTGTACTCAAGGCTTTCAACTAGGCGCCCAGAGTACAGTCCGTACTGCGTTCTCTGAGCGCTGTGACACACAGGCCGGATGGTCATGGGAAAACGGAAGATTCGCGTGCTCAGACGCGAACAAACCACGCCTAAATCAACGACCACGCGAAACTCGTAGTGGCCCTGGAGATCCATAAGGAAAACCCAGGAGCCAAAGGGACTGCGGAGTGACGACCACTGCCCTACCCGTCGCTACGCATGCGCCACAGCACCAGCACTGGACTGCAACAGCTCTAGCAGAGCCACACTCACTGGGCAGGCACAGACGCAGAGCGCATGCTCCTACAGCGCGCATGCGTGACCTCGGTGTTGCCTTTTCCCAGCAGCCCCCTGCCCTCTCGTCGCTATGGCGGATCCAAACGTTGGCTACCTCAGCCACGGCCCTCACAGGGCATTCCTCACCTTGCGTCCGGTTTTCTCCCGTAGCGCCTTCAGCCGTTCCTTTCGCCGCAACGCCTCTTCCTCTAATCGGCCCACACCGGCCGCAGTCGCCGCCATCTTGCCCACAGACAACACCCCCCCCCAACCTTCTCTCGCGCGTCAGCGCGCAGGCCCAAGGTGTAGATGAGCCTCTCACGGCCAATCCAAGGACGTGAATGGGAAAGCAGGAAGACCTGAAAGCCAACCAATGAACCCGCCTTCTTCCTCCCTCGCGCCTCTCCGAACTCTTCGGGGTCGGTAAAGAAGGCTCCAAGGCTCGATTCGTCCAATGCCAACTAGGAAAAAAGCGGCAAGAGCAGCCAGACCTGAGTGAAGGAGGATAGAGCGCATCGATCTCTCTGGTTTTTACCTAGGCGCCACTTTGCAATTCGCTGACCCATCCTTTTTTTCTGAGTAAACTCCGGGAGTTGGTGATGGACAGGGAGGCGTGCTGCAGTCCATGGGGTCGCAAAGAGTCGGACACGACTGAGCGACTAAACTGACCCATCTTTGTCCACTTCTGATTCTTCAAGGCTCGAATGCCTTCAGGAAGCCTTCCCTGACTCTCTCTATTCCGACCCCAGAGTAGGTGATCTGCCTTTCCTTTCCTCTTAAGATACCAGTGGCTTCCTTGATGCACTTGTTCATGGGCCAGTGGGCCCATCTCTGGCCGCTCTCAGCTCAGACAGAGCCTGAGCAGAGCAGGGCTTGGCTGAATGACCATTTTCTTCTGGGTTCAAGGATGCTCCCCTCCCACCTCGAACTCCCTCATGGGGTGGCAGAGTACCCAGAGCCAGACTACCTAACCTAAAGAAGAGCAAACCCCAACTTGGGCCCAGGGGCCCCCAAGAGACCATCCTGAGTTTAGTTCCTGAGAACTAAGCTGACAGTGGTGTGGCCTTGGCCAATAGGTGCACGCTCCGCAGTTGGAGCTGCCACGGTATCCTTTCCCAAGTTAATTAGCATGCCTGACAACGGACAACAGACAGACCTCTTTGGCTGAAGTCAGTATCTTCTGATAGCCTATCCAGGTTCCCAGAGCCACACTTCCTCCCACCTCCTGAGGAGAGAAGGCACAAACACACACCCCCTCGTGACTTGTCTCAACAAGACTGTTGCCTGCTTGCGGCCTCCCTTCCCAGTCTGACACAGGTGGACACCCACTCCTTCCTTCCCAGTTCCCAACAGAGATCTCCAGGGCCACACAACCCTATTTAGCCTGTCCCCACAAATGACCCTCTTGACCTCTGTAACCTGGGCCTTTTGGTGCCCTCTCCCTTGCACTGTGTGGGGTGCCCTTCCAGGTATCCAGGTGATACACAATACGAAGGTAGTCAGTGTTCAGGAAATGTCAGAAGTAGGATGGATGGGCCAGGAAAAAAGGCCAGAGTGGAGGAGATGCCCATGAAGCCATGAGGACAGAATAGGATGGGTATGGAGACAGAGTCTGTCTCCTCTTGGCCACCCAGGGTCTAGTGGGCTCCAGACTAGTCAATTCCTCCAATTGATGGTAACTCTCTGGGTCCTGCAACCCCACCCCCACCCCCCACAGCCCCAATAGAGGACCTTACCCTTGGCCAACAACAAGGGCCCTCCTCACTTCTCAGAGGGCTAGGGGTGGGGGAAGTAGGGAAAGAAAGAGGCCCAGGGGTGATGGTGGCACTGGTTCTGAAAACTGTCTGGCATTCTGTCCCTGCTCATGCTGCCCAAATGGTCCTCATTTGGCCCATCTGGGCTTCAGTTTCTCTGCCTGTAAAACAGGCATGAAGCACCCTTTAGCCTTTATCCTCTTGAAGTTAAAGAAAACAAAATATGTGAACCAAGTGCTGAACGCTGGAGTGGAGGCTGCCTGCACCTGGAGCATCTAGAAAGGCTTCCTGAAGGAGGGGATCCAGGTGAGGTGAAGACTACTGCTAAACAGCTGGAGGAAACTGCTCGCCCAGAGCTATTTGAGTTTTGTCCTACTGTTTTCTTATCCCCTCGCCCCACTCCACACTCCCGTCACACTATCCTGCTCCACTAACAATAGAGTAAAAAAAAAGGTGGCACTTCAGTCTCCGCATAAAGCACTTAGACCAGCACCTGGCCCGTGGTAAGTTCTACAAGTGGTCGTCACGGTTATTGTCCTCACAACTTGTTGAAGGACACTGCCCATCTACACGCGGCCCGCAGTCCCTTCCCCCAAGCCCGCGAGCCTGTCCCTTGCACGAATGGTGGCCGTTCCAGCTAGGCGGGCTGGGTCTCGGTCCGGTCTAGACCTGGGGCAAGCCTATAATTCCAGACCCCGACCCGAGTCCGGAAGGCTCAGATTGCCCTACCCTCGGCACTGGTAGGGCGCGGATTGGGGGAGGGGGGCGGGGCCGCTGGGCGCCCTCCGGGCCGCCCTGACCTCAGGCTCCTCCTCCCGCCGGGCTCCCCGCCCTCTGCTCGGTCCCGGGAGGGGCGGGGCGGCGGTGGCAGCCGCCGAAGCGCAGGAAGCCGGGCGGCGGCCGACCTGGAGGAGGAGCGCGGCGGGGGCCAGTACTACTTCCCCCAGTAGTACCGCGCCGCTCCGCCCTGGAGTGACGCCCTCCGCCCATGGGCCTGGCCGAGGGCAATCGGCGGGCGGCGCGGAGGAGGAGGCGGTGGCGGCAGGTGGCGTGCAGTAGCGCCGGAGCCCGATCGGGCCATGGCCGCCTCGGAGCGGCTCTACGAGTTGTGGCTGCTCTACTACGCGCAGGTGAGCCCGCCCCGCCCCGCGCCCGCCGGGCCCCCAGCTCCGCGCGCCCGGCGCCTGCTGCACCTGCCCCCGGCGCAACCTGGGCCGCGTATCTCGCGCGAGCCGGGGTTGCTCCGGCTGCGCACGCACGTGTGCGCCCCCGGCCCGCCGGCGCCTCGGGCGCTTACACCTGGGGGTCGGTCCTTTCGGGCCCGCGCCACACTGGAGCCTCTCGGGTGCGGACTGGGTAGCATCGGTTGTGCAGGAGGAGAGGGGCCTGGACCAAGCCGGCCTTTACCTCATTTACAGATGGGGAAACTGAGGCCCCGGCGGGGGTGGGAAAGAGACTGGCCGGGTTGGGAGGCTTACTTTGCATTTGGGCTTGCTCCTCCTGACGGTTGCTCCCAGTTGAGTAGTCTTGGTCGACGGGTCTGAGTGGGCTGGGTGGGAGGTCCCTACTTCGGTCTTGGGCAACTCATCAGATCCGCTGCAGCGAACTGACCGTGGTGAGTTCCTGACCCCAGGCAGCCCCACCCCAACCCCGGGCGGGGAGGAGGGTGTGGGTTACCGGGGGTCCAGCCCAAAGAAAAGATTCTCTCTGGATGCTGAGGGTGGAAACGGAATGCAGACAAACTGGGAGGAATGTTTGAAAGGGATGGAGGGATACCATTTTCTCCTGAGATTCTCGTCCTGCCTTATTGACTACCTTAAGTGGCCTCAAGGTGATGGGAGCAACCCAGGTGTCCCCCAAACTGTATCGAACACATAGGGCCCCACTTTCCTTCTGTATCCACAGCAGAGAGAACCCAGGGCAACACTCCTCTGCCCTTCACCCAGCACCAACCTTCCTCCCTGCACCTGCCTGGCATCACACTCCTGGCTCAGGCACACCTTGAGCACAATGGACTATTGTGTGCTCCTGATCTGGGCACTGGGGGGAAGTTCATACTCATATCAGCTGGCCCTGTGAGAAGAGGCTAGCCCACTGTCTCTCGGGACTGCAGGCTAGGTCTGGGGCCCCAGGGACCAGGAATCCAGGCCACAAAGGCCATAGCTTCTTGAGCCCGCTCGGGTGGTGAGAAATCCAGGCATCTGGCAGGAGGCAGTGAATGCAGTAGAGTTCATCTTTCGTGTGATTCAGGGCATGCATGCTGTTTACACCCTGAGCTTCTGTTTCCATATCTGTAAATTTGGCACAGTCCTGGCATGGAGTGGCCTAGACTCTGCAGAGGGGTAGCCAGTATGACTGGGGTAGCCAGTATGACTGGTCCAGGCCAGAGAAGCTTCCTGCTTCCCTGCTTCATTGGATCCCGTTCCCCCAGCTTCTCTGTCTCTGTCTCCAAAGACTGGTCCTTGTGATGGAGAAAAGCTTCAGGAGGAGACTTGCACTGGTCCTTGTGCTTCTTATTGCCTTCGTGGTTGTGGGCAGGTTCTTGGTCTTCACTTCCTTCAGTTGTGACCAGGTGAAGGGGGGCTTGGACAAGGTGATGCGTCTGAGGGATGTTAATTGTGCTTCTGATTGTTCCTGTGGTCACGGGCGGGTTCTTGGTCGTGAGTTTCTTCCCCTGTGATCAGGTGAAGGGCTTGAACGAGGTGATGAGTCTGAGGGCTGTTAATGGTGGGTCTTCAGGCAGGGTGGCATGCTGCTGGGGGAGGGTGTCTTGGTTTCCCAGAACTGTACCTCCAACACAGGTGCTTCCTGCTGCCCCTTCTAGCTGAACTCTGCAAGCAGTCAGTCCCTCACAGGTGTTCAGCGTTCACCTGTGCTGAGTCCCTTCTCCCCCTCCCACTCCTCACCTCACTGGGGAGGTGTGGGGTACAGGCTAGCTGGTTGTAGCCTTGGAAGCCTGGGCAGGCAGGGGACAGCCTGAGGCCAGGCAAACAAATCCAGGATATGAGTGTGAACCCCAGAGCCGGGAGGGGCCAGGTTTCCTGGGGAGAGGAAGCTCCAGCCGGCCTCCCAGCGCGGCCTTCCTGCCGGCTTGGTCCTGCTCCTGCTCCCGGAACACGGTCTCCACCCTCTGCACTGAGCTCCCAGGGTGTGGTTGGAGTGGTTGGTGGCTGTCCGCGTCAGAGCCCCGCCAAGACCTATTGTGTGTGTGCTCAGGGGAGGGGAAGATAGGTATGGGGTTGAACTGATAGAGGCTATTAAGAAACCCTGAGTTGGCCAGCCACCCAGCCAGTAGGTCCCCCAATACTTTCACCCCTCCCTTCAGCAGTGAGAGCTGACATCAGCTGGCAAACCTGTTTCCCCAGTTGTGGGTTTGGGCCCGCCCAGGGAGCACCCCCATTTCTGCCCTTCCTTTCCCCTCACAGACCCCAGATTCAGCCCCACTCACCCCATACCTCTGGAGGCCACGAGTGGGTGAGGGGGCTGTGG